AGTCAAATCAAGTCAAGTCAAGTCAAGTCAAGTCCGGCCTAATCGACTGCAGTCCAGTCAAGTCGAGTCCCTTCTGATCCACAACAGTCGCCTCGAGAAGTCTGGCTACAGATCGCGATCTTCTCGCTTGCTCTGCCCTCCTTCCGGCCTGTTCACGTCTCGTTGACCGATCATTGACTCAGCAATTTCAGCGCGGATTTTGAGACTGATACTGACCTGACGCCACATCACTGGCCGCCTCTCTCAGAGGCAACTGGCCCCAACGACCAAACAACCAACGTGTCTAGCGACGCAGCACAATGACATTCAAGGTGAGTACATTCAGCCAAATTTACCACTACTCCTCTCTTATTTTTTGAGATTAGTAATTTCCGAGACTCTTCGACATTTTAAAATGACATCTTCGTAACCCTACGTCGCTATAGGATATTTATGTAGTTGAGTGGCTGAGTTTTCTTATCATAATATGGGTAGGCCTCATTATGCCATTTGAGTTCACTTATCCTTGCCCCCAAGAAGGCAATTTCACTCAGATTGGAACGGATTGCAGCTTCAACCTCGCTCAGAATTCGATACCGGATCCTAAATATCGTGGTGACCTTACTATTCCACTACATATCCACCTGTTCATGATAATCAAAGGCTAAATGTAACATTCAAGGCCTACATCGCAATCAACGAATTTACTTCTTTTGAAAGTAAGATGTTGTTGAGACCCTAGACTGCTTAAGGTTCACTTGAGGAGTGATAGTTGAGACGAATACCAAAATGGTTTAGATTTTGGTTTGGTCGAGATTTCATTTTTGCAGCATGTTTCGAGAACTTGCGGAACCTACTTAGACTTGCGTCTTTGGTGCACTCCAAGTATACGTCTCATCAACACCCAACACGGGAAGCGATACCAAGCTGGCAATTAGAGAAATATACCAAGTCAACAGTGTGAGCCTGTTAATTATCCTGAATACTATGACAGACGATGCAAACACAAAATTGCCTCCACAAAGTCTCCCTGCTGTTCTTACCAAGTTGCGGAAATCAGGCCAAGCCAACACTTAAAGTGTGGTAGTTGACTTTTCCCACTTCACTACTACATCACACAGTCACAGGTACCAAAGGGTAATAGGGTAGAGGTGACATTTAAGGCAGTGATTGTGGGATTGTCGATTAGGCAAACCTGTGTTTGTTTTTACAATCGATGAAAGTACTCATGTTCAAGGTAAGTATTCTTCGGAATTATCAGTAATTAATCTCATTTTTTTCGGTTTTTATTATGATGCAGAACTCACTTTCCAGCACTCACCCTTTGATACTCGTCGAATAGTAACCCAATCTTATTCCTGATGCAGAAAGTGTAAATATTTAGATGCTTAGGTATAGAGATGATTTGGGTTTGAGGGTTCACTTAATAGATTGTTATTTTCATACCGTTCCGCTAGTTTGAGGAAGTCCTGAAGTGACCTTGCGGATAACCGAAAGAAGAGTGAAATTGTTAGTTCTTGACTGTACCTTTCTGTACCTTGTGCCTTGGGAATTTTTTCGTAAATGTTGGTTTCTGGTCCTGACGAAAGCTCAGTTCAGATTCGTAGGAGGCCAATTTACAAAGTAATTCCATTCGTCAGTTTTTCAAACAAATTCAAAGGTAAGATAGCATTGATT